TTGCTTCTTAGGGAATCTGGTCCTTTCCCCTGCTGTGGCTCAGCCATGGGCTGCTTAGGTGTTGGCCTGTGCTTTGCTCTGGTCCTTTCTTCTGCTGTAGCTGGAATAGTCAATATCTGAGGAAATTTTAAAAGTTCTTACCATAGTATCATAAGATTTTGAGCTGGAAGGAACCTCGAAGTTTTTCTAGTTCAACCCTCTTATTTCACAAGCCTGGAAATAAAAAATGACTGGCCTGAGGTCCAACAGGCCAGGATTTGAATACAGGTGTTCTGAGTCTAATTCAGGTTCTTTCTGTTACACCATACTGACATCTCCTCATTAAGATATTCATTGTGATTAAGATGCTGGTATTATAAACAGGCTTTAAATTTTTGACATCTATGCTACAGTGAGCATATTTAGTATAAAAAAGACTATTCCGCAAGAGAATATGATGAATGTGTAGTTTCCGTGGTATGTTACAGAGTGAAACCTTCAGGCCTTCTCTCTAAGATTATCCCCAACTTTTCCCGCGTCTGTCTGGCATATACATAATTGTGTTTGCGTGTTGTCTCTCCCATTAGGCTGGGAGCTCCTTGATATCAGGGATGGCCTTTGCTTTTCCTTGTGTCCCCAGCACCTAGCACAGTGCTTGGCACATAGTAGACATTTAATAAATGCTTATTGACTTGGCATGACTGGATAAAGCCGTGTTAAATAGATTTATTATACATAGGTTTCATGTGTTCTTCACATGAAGACTAGGCCTCTTGATGTGACAGTCTGTCTCATTTCCTTGCCTTTACACAAGCTGTTGTCGTGGTCTTCTTTGAGAATAAATGTCATACAACAACAACAGCAGCAATAACGACTCACTCCATTATTAGAACATCCTCTCTCCTTATATCTCCTTCTTAGAAACCCTAGTTTCCTGAAAGCTCACTTCCTACATGAGACCTTTCCTTTTCCCTAGAACTACTAGTGTGCCCCCCCATAACCTTGTATTTGGTTTGCATATATTTTATATATGTCTAAGCTTTGTCTTCCCTTCAGGGCAGGACCTATTTCCTCTTTGTCTTTGTATGCACAATGCCTGTCCTGTAATAGTCACTTAATAAATGCTTATTGATTGATTGTTTCAAACCTGGAGAATGGGCCTTTTCAAGCCCACAAAGTGTTATTTTAAAGAAGGGTCTTAGAACCTCCACATGGGACTCTGGTGGTCAATTCATGGGACAGAATGGAGGAAAGGGAAACAGAAAGGAGATCCAAGCAGTAGTGTCTCCAGGTGTCTATGCCTGTCCCAGCTCACCCAATCCGCAGCCGTGTGAGGAGACATTCATTCCCTGAGTGACTAATGCATAGCTTACTCCTAAATGGGATACACTCAAATCTCTAGCAAAATACTGGGCCTGGAAGGACCATCTAGTCCTAACTCTTTGTTTTACATATAAAAAAGCTTAGGTCCAGGGAAGGGATGTGATTTCATTCAAGGTCACGTGGCTATTTAAATGTTACGTGTTGGTTTGGTTCATCATATGACCCCTATATCTACCCCAGGTATTCTGTTGAGCAAATATAATTCCCATTAAAATGACCTGTGTGTTTTCCAGCCTTCTAGGGGACCATAAGCCTGGATGTGTGACAGGCCTAGGGGAGAACCCTAGGGTTATGATGGACTAGAGCCAGTTTCCAAAAGCAGACCCCATAACCAGGTGATAGCTGGGGGAGAGGGACTGCTTATTGATTCATCATGCTTGATTAGATGCTAGTATTGGTTTTTCATGCTGCATCACTCACGTTGCCTCACAAGGGCCACAAGTTTCTTTCTTCTTTGCTTGTTGTTGTTGCTCTTGCAAAGCCTGCGCCACTCCCCACAGACAATATGTCTCTCTTATTTGGCTATGGGAGACAGGGTGATGTAATGGCTTATTGTGTTGCTCATTTAATATCAGCCTGTGCCTTAGGAGAGATAAGAGACCACCAACCCCAAACCCATCTTTTCAGCCACATGCATCTGTACTCACCAATAGTAAAAGGTGGTCATGCATTTCAGAAACCAGCTATGTCCATAGCAAGTATGTACAGTTGAGATGACTCAGAGGAAAACACCAGCTCCCCTGTGACAACTAAGCTTTGAGTCTGCTTCTAAAAGAAGTCAAGACATTTTCCATTCCGTTGGTACTGAAGTTTATAACTGTTAGTGGTTGCACGGGCTCAGCTGACCCATCGATGGGGTCTTCTCATTATGTGATGACAATAGCCATCATTGGTTCTCATGGCTTCTCTTTTCTTGAAAATTCCAGAGCACTCTGTAGACAAAATGGGGTTGTCTCTGTCTTTCCATGATAGAGTTTAAGGCCAGTCTTGGTGGATTGGTAGAGGTGCTCACCAGAGAGAGTGGAGAACAACAAATAAATACTAAATACATTGGGGAGGGGGTAAATGGAGTGACCAAATATGAAATGGGTCCAAAAGCCCACAGATCAGAGTCTTGCTCACTTGAAAAAGTCTTGGTTTGACTACTGGGAGCCCAGACATTAAGTTTTGCATCTTTCAAGCAGATCTGAAGGGCAGCTAGGTGGCACAATGGATAAGTCTGGAATGAAAAATACTCTCATCTTCCTGAGTTCAAATCCAGCCTCCAACTAGCTGTGTGACCCTGGGCAAGTCACTTAACCTCGATTGCCTAGGGAAAAAAAAAAGATAATCTTCTGTGGAAACCATTCTCATTGCCACTAACAGAAGAGGAAAGAAAGATGTAAGAAATGAGAATGAAGGAATCTTATCCCTGTACTTATTCTTATGGAAATGGTGCCTTCTGATTGGAGAGCAGAGGGGAGAGCTCTTCCCACAATTTAAATTTAGAGAGGGCTTCCAGGCCAGTCATCTCTTCATTTCTCGTCTGGCTAGAGTCCTTTGTATTTCTCTGTCATGGCCCCAGACACGTTACTCCCCCTACCCTTGCTTCCCCGCTGACTTTTGTATGTTGTCTTCTCATTAGATTGTAAGCTCCTTGAGAACAGGGATTTCTTTCTTTTTCATATTTGTAGCCCTAAGCACAGTGCCTGAGACATAGAAGGCACTTACAAATGTTTATTGACTGACTGACTGCTGGGTATCTGGGTCTCAGATGTGCCTCTCTTAGTTTATCTTGATTATTCCTTAGAAAGCAGGGATCTAAGGGCATCCCATGCCTTACAAACTCCCTTTCTAGTCTGCCATTCAAGAGTCGGGCTTTTCCCAGGTGTGCTTGACACCACGCTTCAGGTCTTGTGTAAATTTAAACTTGAATCGCTGTCATGACTGTGCAGAGAATTGTCCAGGTAGGAGTTCAAGATCTGTGGCCTTTTATAGGTCTCTCTCAATCTCTCCCTACTTGTCAGGCAGTAGCTTCACATTCTTAGAATCCAAAGGGAAAGCTGCCACATAATGGGTGTGCTTTTTGGTCCTCCCATAAAATGAAGGTCATATGGGAAGGCAGCAGCCATCAGAGCAAGGCCTCTGGACCTTGGTGAACTGCTAACCGAAGGAAAACCCGACTAGCTTGATAGTTAATTGTGTGTGATCTTTATGCTTCAAGAATGAAGAAGCTTATTAGAAAATCTGATAAGGCATCAGTGACAATTGTCCTGTGCAGTTGACTGGATGATCTCTACACAGGTGTCATTATTGTAAGTTGTACCCCCATCTGCCTTCAATCCTGCTTCAGCCTTCTAATTGTCACTTTAAGGATTATGACTGTACTGAGTTGTTTTATTTTTTTCCATTAAAATAAAGCTTAAAACTGAAACTCCAACCCATAGACTATTCACTTTAAATTCCAGCATTGATTCTAATAGTAATAAATTACATGCATAATAGAGGGCTCTATCAATAGAAAACACTTCCCCAGAAACCATCTCAGTTTATCTTTACAACAGCTCTCTAGGTCAGATAGTATGTATTATTTTAAAAATGAAACTATCAAAGCCCTGGCTTCCTGCAAGACTCAGTTCAAATCTCAGCCTTTCTCAATCACCCTCAGCTAATAGGGCCTTCTCCCTGCGAGATTTCTCTCTCTCTCTCTCTCTCTCTCTCTCTCTCTCTCTCTCTCTCTCTCTCTCTCTCTCTCTCTCTCTCTCCCCTCTCCTCTCTCTCTCTCTCTCTTTTCTCTCTCTCTCTTCTCTCCTCTTCTCTTCTTTCTCTATCTCCTCTCTCCTCTCTTCTCTTCTCTTTCCTCTCTCTCTTCTCTCTCCTCTCTCTCTCTCTTTTTCCATAGATAGATAGATATAGATATATAGATATATATCTTATGTGTATTTAGTTCTTCCTTTCATGTTTGACTCTCTCATTCGAGTAAACTCCTTGAGGGTAGGCCCTGTTTTTGCCTTTCTTTGTAAGCCTAGTACTTGACATAGCACACAGTAGATGCCTAATAAAGGTTTGCTGATAGACTGACTGAAGCTCAGTGACAAAATATACCTGAGGTCACATAGCTAGTAAGTGGGAGGGCCAAGTCCAGTGTTCTTTCCACTGTTCCATGTTGCCTTATTTCAAAGAATGTTTTATTTGTTTTTTAACTGGAGTGATTTCTCTGGTATGGGAAACTCCTTGTGAGGAAAAAACTCTCTTCCAATGCAGATCAGCACCCTCTCTACAAATTGGAGTGTTAGAGGGTTGGCTGAGACCGTAAGGGTGACTTATGCAAGATCACAGGACAAGGATGTATTAGAAGTGGGACTTAAACCCAGGTCTTTGTGCTTTGTAAATTGTGCACAACTCTTCATGACCCCGTTTGGGGTTTTCTTGGCAAAGATGCTGGAGTCATTTGCCATTTCCTTCTCCAGCTAATTTTACAGATGAGGAAACTGAAGCAAACAGGGTTAAATGACTCAGCCAGGGTCACACTGCTGGTAAATGTCTGAGGCCAGGTTTGAACTCAGGTCTTCCTGACTCCAGGCTCAGCACTCTATCCACTGCTCTACCTGGCTACTCCAGCTTATTAGAAAGTCTGATAAAAAATCAGTGATACTTACTTAATTGTCCTGTGAAGTTGACTCTTAAGAAGAGAGAGATGCATATTTCCCTAAGCCTTCTGATATAACCAACTGCCATTCTCCTGTATTTCTTCTCTCCCAAAGATCTATACTAGAACAAAATGATAAATAGGAAGAGAAAGCTAAATACCTGTGTTGCCAAATTGAAGGGTGAGCCTCCAGACTCTTTTAAGTTTCAGTTTACTTGTCTGGCAGTTGGACTAAATAAGGGTTTCTTAACACTTTTTGTATTTTGAACCTTCTTTGGCTGTTTGGTGAAATCTGTGGGCCTCTTTTCAGAATAATGTTTTTAAATGCATAAAATAAAATACATAAGATTACCATATTGACATATAGTTATAAAAATATTTTTTAAAATGTCTTGGACCCCTGGTTAATAACCCCTGAATTAGATTTTCTAAATTCCCATGATCATATGGTGTTTAGCTCATACATAGTATTCAATAGATATTAAAAAGTTAATTAGGGGGTAGAACAATTAATTAGTAGTAATAACAATACTTAGGATCTGTGGAATATTTGGCCACTTAAGCATACTTCTGCCAGGCAACTGTGGTGGAGTCTAATAAATAATACTCTTCATCTGGTCACAATTTAAAACCACATTCTTCTTATATGCCATTTAAATTTATGAAAAGAAAGGCTGTTGAGATGTGAATCAGAATCAGAACCCATTCCCCCCACTATCTTATCTAGAATTGTCTGCAGAGGCTAGATAAAGTAGGGTAGTTGGTTTCACTCTCAAAAGGGATGCCTTATGGATATCCAGGCTGAACAGCCCTTGGGGGTTGGCCAAGAAGTAGGCCTTCTCTTGGAAAAGTGTGATTGAAGCAATACTTCCAGGCTCCTGAAGACTGGGATACTTTTGCCATGACTGTCCCCCATGAAGGTTAGGCAAGTTTTTCCTGGAAAGGTATTGAAATTGTCCTCATTATTTGACTTGAGGGACTACAGTCTTGGTTTTTGAGGTATAGCCTCCTGGTTGTCTGAATGCAAAGAAGGGCCAGGGGCACAAGGAGCTCCAGCTGTTCCCCAAGGCTTCAGAGGAAGGATCACCTTGGGCAGCTGAGTCAAGGCTCTCTTCTTATTGAGTGTCTTTTCCGTGCTATGTCAAGTAAACCTCCTTCTAATAAACACAAAATGTTCCATGGGCATCTCATTTTGTTCTAATCTATAAGATGGAAAGGCTTGGGTCCCAAAATGTGTGGGGTTTTTGTCCCTAATCTAAGAGGTGAATTTAATGCAGAATTGATGTATGGCCCTTTGAATGAATCCAAACTTCACAAAACAAATCCCCTTAATAAAAGTCTTCCTGACTCCTGTAAAACTTGAACTCAGTGAAAAGGCCACACCCAGGACCTAGAAGGCCACATGTGGTCCTGAGGCACAGGTTCCCCACCTCTGGTCTAAATCCACCTGAGCCTAAGTATCTAGGCCAGTCAATGCATATTAGAAACTATGCCTAGCATATGTATTTGGAAAATATCCTATCAGTATTTCCTTGGAAGCTTCATGAAGCAATGTGATGGCATGAATACAAAAAAAGATTTTAATTACTTACTATCATCTGGGGCTTGATGATAAGAAGCATAATATTATCTATAAACAAGAATCATACCGAGGACTTCGCCTTTTAGAGAAAACCTCTCTTCCCTTTAGACCTTGTATAAGGCAACTTCTGTAGAAGTTCTGTAGACCAAATTCAGTAGACATGGGGGCCACCAAAGCACACATCAGGATCCCTAAGGGTCACATATTGACTTATAAAGCCATACATGTTACATATTTCTTATTTTTTAAATTAATACATCAACACATTAAAGTCATACAAGAATTGTATCATAATCTGCTTCAGGCTGCACTCACTAGCCACGGCCTGTGGGCCTCAGGTTTGACACCTCTCATGCAGACCATCTTTAGCAGGCATTCATCTCAGTGTCTTATGCCTCATTTGTCATTTATCATCAGAGGATCATTGAACAAAGCCATTTCTTCAGTTACATTTACCAGTGAATTTTCTCTTATGTTGACCTATTGTTCTAGTCTGTGCAGCTGCTTTCAGGGGACCTTAGAGACTTCCAGAGAAGCAGGAAAGCAGACCAATGACACCAAAAAGCAATAGGCCTTTATTTATCCTGTTTTAACTCATTCAAAGGAAAGCTTGTGGCTAGTTTGAAACACTCAGGGGCATGAGAAGAGGGGATTAGGAGGCAAGGACACATCTGGGTTAGTCACCTAAGAGATCAAGGCATAATGGGATCTCTACAGGGGCAAGATATGTCCAAAACTCAGCTGGGGAATCCAGGCCTCAGCTGAGATGATATTCAGGCCAAGAGGAAGGGAGGAGGTCAAGGAAATCCAACAAAAGGAAGTCTTCCCAATCTGGCATGCAGTATTTGCCACACCGCTTTGGAATAGGAACCCCATACTCCCAGATGCAGAGAAAAGCAAGGGTTTCATAGGGAGGGGCAAAGTCTCTGTCTATTAAATCTGATTGTTTTCCCACTTATCTCCCAGGTAGGGAAGCAGCACTACTTAGCGAGGTCTTATGAAGCATAGAGTTCCAGAGATAAGGTATTCCTGGAAAAGGGCAGAGTAGAGGTAACTAGATAAGATGCATCTGGTGAGTCCCATATTGAGTACAGAGATATTCCGTTGCAAGAAAGCCTAGGCTGGGAAAACAAAATGTTTTGGACCAGCATGAGAGATTTTTTGTTGAAGAGACTGTAGGCTTGCTTTTTTTTCCCCCTTCATTTTTGAATCTAATGCTTTTTTTAATCAAAAAATACGAGGGGACCTTGTATTTTCTGCATTTTTCTGTCAATGTGTGATTTTAAAGATATGGGCTGCTATAGAAAGATGTGTGTGTGTGTGTGTGTGTGTGTGTGTGTGTGTGTGTGTGTGTGTGTAGAGAGAGAGAGAGAGAGAGACAGAGACAGAGACAGAGAGAGACAGAGAAAGAAAGAGTGCAGAGACCATGATACTGCTTTTCTTAGTATTCCCAGAAAAGACTGGCAAACAAAGTCTCCTGATTCTTGTCCCCACACAAAAGGCAAGATCTTGTCCCTTTAGAAGTTGTTAGACTCTGAGTACTTGAGTCCCTCTGACAGAGATTAATAGAACCATAACTCCCTGCATTCACAAATTTCAGAATTGTCTAAGACAGGCCTGCACAACTTGTGGCCCTCGGACCACCACATCTTTTACATTTTTCAGGGGCTGCCTGAAATCGTTTGGTAGGCCTGGTCTAGGAGATAACAAGTGTAAGGCAGACCAGAGCACAGGCCTGGAGAGTAGTAAATACCTCTCCTTAGATCATACCAACTTGGAAGTACTAAAAACTTATAGGTCTCTAGAAATATCTCTGAAAATAGCTGCTCAAAACCCCTGAAGGTTGGGACAGTGTGCCCTCCACCCTGGAAGCAGAGTCCTACTTTAACAAAGAGTTAAAAGTCAAGTAATAGGCTGGGAGTATGAGCAAACAACAGATAAAAAGTGTGAGTGGTGATTCAGAGTTACCGCTTGGCAAAACTGGCTCTTAGTACAGTTGTGAAGTAGACAATCTATTTTAAGGCTGGACACTCTCTGCCCTTTGTGTCATTCCTTCTCTAGACCCTCAGTCTCCCTTAGTGGCTCCCTACGTCATCTTAGGTCCCCTCTTCAGCCTCACCCAGGCCTATCCCTTCCCAGCATCACCTCCAGTCCTTGACCTTCCAGGTTTCTTCCCTCAGCCCTTAAACATGTACTCTTCTCATCCCCTGCTCAGGACTCTTCAAGTAATCCCTTAAATGACTGTTACTGAGTTAATGCATTATGCATCTCAAGTAATATATTATATTGTAATTAGGGTCCTTCTGAAGGCAAAGCCTTGACCCACCTAACCAGGTGGTGGGCGTGTCACTGTGGCAGATCCCTGGTGGAGACTTAGAAAGGAGTCACAATACTCACCATGTCAGCAGTCAGCTACTCTCCCTGTTCATGGGATTAGGCACTTAGTATGTGTAAGATACATACTTTGCCAGGAACTAGGGATACAAATACAAAATGAAGTCTAGTTCCTGCCCTTATATTTTACTGGGTTGATACAAGTAGCAAAGAGATAAGTAGAGGATACACAATTATTTGAGGAGAAAAAGAGCATTAACTAGGGAGATCAGGAATAAATGCTTATGAACATTTATTAAGTGCCTCCTATGTGCCAGGCATTGTGCTAAGTGCTTTATTATTTGTGCCCAGCCTGTGGCAGAGCATTCCAAGCTCGTATTGGTCTGATCCACCACAGTCAGACATTGTACCTTGACTCCAACAGAATGATGTCCTCTTCAAGATCAAAGTGTCTTATTGGATCCTAACAACAACTCTAGGAGGCAGGTGCTACTGTTATCCACATTTGACAATATTATTCCCCAGCTGAGGAAACTGAGGCAGACAGTTGAAGTGATCTGCCCAGGGTCACATACCTAGGAAGTGTCTGAGGCTGAGCTTGGCTCTCCCTGACACCAGTTACTCGATCCACTGGGCCTCCTAGCTGAACACATGAGCTGAGCCTTGAAGGAAGCAGAGGTCAAAAGGAGGTTTATTGTAGGGCAGAGGAAGGCTCAGACTGCATGTAGAAAGAAACAAAGAGAGGTAGGAGGTGGAATATTGATTTCTGGTAACAGCAAGGCTAGCTTGGCCGGAATACTAAGCATGTGAATCTTGGGGGCAGGAATCTTGTGGCCAAGGAAATTCACAACTCCAAAACAGCTGGGCCTCAATGATCTTTCTTTCTCTGGAGAGTCCTCGTAGAATTCACTGTGGGTCAGGGTATTGGTGTTGGTGACAGAGAAGTCACTTTGCCCCTAGGCCAAGTTGGCTTAACACAGAGCAGAGCCTTGCAGTGGATAGCACTTATTTTAGACTGGCCAATCTACTGGGGGAAGGGATAGGGCAGTCAAATTGCATGGCCACTGGGCTGCCTAAGGAAGGACAAAGTCGCCAGGTCAGAAATGGAACACATAAAAGCATCCATGCCAGTCAGCAATGGGATCACACAGGGAATAGTCACTATACTGCCAGCCTGGGCCAGAGAAGGAGAATCAGTCTCCCTCTCCCCTCTCCCCCCTTCCAAAGGAAAAAAAAGCTGATCCCTGCTATTGTAGTCCTCTTCCCAGTTATTACATCTAACAGTAGCCTGCCAGAGATAATACCAGCGCCTAGTATAATGCAAAGAATACTAGATTCAGAACCAGAAGACCAAGGTTCTAGTTGGAGCTTTGTCACTAACTAGCTCTGTGCCCTTAGGCAATAATATACTCAGCTTCTGTGGACTTTGATATCCTCCTGTATCAGAGTAGATTATCTCCAAATATAGTAACCACTGTGCATGACAGAGGGCTACCTCATGTATTCCTACTTAGCTGAAAGACACCGCCCCACCAGAAGCATTGCGCTATGTCATCAGAAATGCAGATTGGAAAAAAAAAGTTTTAATTTAAATGTAAGCATTCTTTGGTGTAGTTTGATGAAGGTTAGAGAAAACTTAGTGGCCCAAAGATCTCATTCTGTTTCATGGCATCAGTTACATCAGTTGCTAAGGGGCAGTTCATAGGTATCAACAGGAAATTAGATGAAATTGATTTTTTTATACCAGCACCCTTCCTGTGCCATACATTTTTAAAAAGGCTAATTATATTTTGATGGAGAGGAAGAGGGACTGAAAAGCACACTGATTGGTTGAACAGGGAAACTGTTTATGTCTAAAAGGGTGCAAGGTGAACTCTAGGCCAAATGCTTGATAATTGGTGATTGGAAGGTTAGGTAGAAAGATATTTCACTCTGTTCATTATGATGTGCTATCCCTGGGCAAGAACCAGCAGTCTGCTCAGCTGAAGGAACCTGGGGAAGGCAGTGGGAAGTCCATCCATCATTCACGACTGAAAGAGTCCGAGAAGAAAATGGAACTTAGAAAGTTAAAAAGTAGAAATTCACCCTGCTGCGTCTTCCTGACAAGTCACCTAATCGTAAGTGTGCTCTGAGTGGGAATCTGGCGTGGCTAGAAAACCTGGAAGCCACAATTTGGGAGACAGGCACAACTCTTAAGAAAAGAAAGGATGGGCTTCTTCCACAGATATGAGAGGTTTGGGATTTTTTTCCTTCCAGTTTTTCATTTCTAAAAAGAGAATCCCTTCTAACACAGCTGACTATCTAAAAAATGGGGTGAACTAGATTGAAGACATTGTATTGAAAATACAATATAGATAATTCTAAACATGATTCTTTGGGTTGTAAAAGCAATAAACCTAGAAGTGATGATTCCTGAGGAAAAGAAGGACAAAAAATTGTTGTCATACAGAATTTTCAATACTGAAAGAAAACTATACTGTTAAGGTATCTCTTGACTTTTCAAATCTGATTTTGAAAATGCATGCACTTTTTTATTTCTGGTATGTAATTATACTTTTCTCTTTATAGAGTATTAACATAATGCCCCAATGTCATATCTTCACACTGCTGCTCTTTTTATAAAGTTGCTCTAAAGATTACTTCTTAAATGAAAGGATAGGAGACATTTTCCCATATTAACTTATTTTTATAGTTCTATAATAGTGCCATATTCAAAAGCACTATAAGGAAAATCCTAAAACTCCTTGGGACTGAGACTTAAAAGATTTTTACTCTTCTTTTTAGCTCATCTGTTTATTAGCGATAGTGAGTATTTATAGAGCCACCAAGATTCCATCAAAGATTTGTCTCTCCCAGAAGGTGTTTAATTTCTTTGTCCAGGATATCACTCATGCATGCATTCATTGGTGTACTGATACACTGAGTGTCAGCGTTCTTTTTAGGTAACTGAGGATCGGAGATAATCTCTTGGAGTAAATACCTTGTTATACCTCATCCCAGAATCAATAACTATTTGAAATCAACTTAAGGAAGTTTGCAAGAGTCAGCACGCAATCTCACGGATGTGTGTGGAAGGGAAAAGAGACAGTCCAACCTTATTGACTGTACAGGTATATAGAGATGAGCCTTTGGTATCTTTCAGTCAACCAGTCAACTTACTGTATCAGCCAGTGGTAAGCACTAGGGACAAAAAGAAAGGCAGGAACAGTCTCAGCCCTCAAAAAGCTCATATTCTAATGATACTTTCAGTACCAGATGAAGAAGAGTGAGAACAGTGTGCTGACTATATATGTATGTATGTATATGTATGTGTGTATGTATATGTATGTGTATACATGTAAATATATGCAACATATATATGTATGTATGCCTACTTATCTACATATTGTGGTCCCCTTTCCCATAGAATGCAAACTTTCTGAAGACAGAGACTCTCTCTCTCTCTCTCTCTCTCTCTCTCTCTCTCTCTCTCTCTCTCTCTCTCTCTCCATACACACACACACACACACACACACACACACACACACACATATACACATAAAATCACCAGCACTCTTAGTACAGTGCCTGGCACAGAGTAAATTCAACGAATGCTTGTTGTCTGAATGAATGAATTAGGAAATCAGAATGGGTTAGAAGCAAAGTGATAAATATTTATTAAGCAGCCAATATATACTCTCCTATATGTGTGTGTAAATGCGTTTTGATATATCAGCATATGAACATGTGTATGAATGAATGAATGCCATTTGTGTAATAGGGATAAGGATTGGACCAGTAATTTCATTGTGTAATATACCACAAAGAAATTAAGTCAAAACTCGTCATTTCTTTTTCCTGTCTCATAACCATGAATTTGTGGTAAGTTTACTGAGAGGACAAAGAAAGCAGATCATTCAATAATGAAAACTGGACCTTTGTTCCAAGGAGTTTCTTAAGGAGTTGAAAGTTTGAGTGCTTAATTGTATATGTGGGGATGAAATGGAGAAGGGAGGCTGTGACAAGGACTTTGTTTGAATTGAATTGAACGTGAATCTGGACACATAGAGCAGGTCCTTGTTTTTTCTGACATTGTGGAGGAATGCAGTTTTAGGTATGTGTTAAGCATACTCCCTTAAGAACTGAAAGTTGTTTTGTTTTAAATTTTAACCATTTGCAATAGAAATCTTCCCAAATAAACTACACACCTCCCTGCCTTCCTAAACAGAGTATACTGAACATGATTTAACATTTCCTTGGTGACTAAGGTAATCATTATTACCTATCGCGCTGTAATAATAATAACTGACATTCATAGAGCGCCTTAAGGATTACAAAATGCATTATATGGGGGCAGCTAGGTGGCACAGTGGATAGAGCACTGGCCCTGAAGTCAGGAGGACCTGAGTTCAAATGCGGCCTCAGACCCAACACTTGACACTTACTAGCTGTGTGACCTTGGGCAAGTCACTTAACCCCAATTGCCTAAAAAAAAAATGCATTATATAAGTCATCTCATGTTACAACAATGAGGTCTGCAGGGGTTGCTTTGAGCTTTTTGTCTCTGGGCATCTAACTCTACACATAGGGCATATCAAAGAGCCCAGTTTCCTGGCATTAACTTAACTTATAAGCTATTAACTCACTACTGACTGCTGAATCTTCCTAGTTGGTGATTCTCTTTGCTTCCTTACTATCATAGGGTACTTCTCAATAAATCTGCTAGCAACAACCTCCTAACATTCCACTCCATTTGTATCCAAATCCCTCCACCATCGCTACTCCCTTCTTATCTGCTGGCTGCAATGATTTCCAGCAGACTGAAGGTTGCCAAGTGAAACCAGATAACCAGACTTCTTAAATCAGTAGCCTTAATTTTGCATATAACTGTAAGTCAATAATTCAGTAGACCTCCTATGAAGAATGTTCTATGTCGCCCCTATAAAATAAAGTCCTAGTCGGAGAGGTTTTTTGGTTTCTTTCTATATTCATGATGATGTCCTGGATGTTTGAAGCCACGGAAAGTCTGACAAGGGATGGTTGATGATGAAGATTATACCAACAATAGATTATACCAACAATAACTCATTTTTATATAGTGCTTTAGACTTTTGAGAGGCAGTATGGTGTAGTGGGTACAGAGCTGAACTTGGAGCCAGGAAGACCCGCCTCTGACAGATAGCAGCTATGCAAGAGTCATTCAGTCTCCTGGTGTTACAGGCAATTTGGCGAAGCTTTCAATTGCAGAGAAGGTGCTAATCTACAGAGAAAGTAGAGAAAGTTCTGGTTGTTTCTATACCTGTGAAATGACAAGATCCCATCCCTATTCCTTTCCCTTTACAAATCACAATACTTTACTTTGTAATGACTCCCCCACCTACTTCTAAGGCAGAATTCTCTCTTCTATACCCATTTCTCTACCAATGGTTTCCTGAATACTTTTATACCTTATTTCATTTGAGCTCAGAGCTCAGAGATGATAAATGATTTGCCTCTGGTCACAGTAAGCACTGGAGCCAGGATTCAACCCTCCAAGTGTTCTGATTTCAAATCCAGTGATTGTCTGACTATACATCACAGCCTCTCCATTCTCCAGATGAGAATAAACATTTTAACTGAATTCGTTTTCCTCCATTTGACCCCTAAGTCTGAATGTGAAACCTGGAGCTACTAAGTATCTTGAGGCTTATTAGAAAATGGCTCCTATGTGTGAAGCCTTGCATGATTAGAGGAAAAGTAATGTCCAGTAGCTCCCTGACCACAGGTGTCACTTTCTGGCAGGTTTTGTTGGAGATTTTTGAGTTTGGGGGATTGAATTTGATGTTGATTTGGATTTGTTTTTGATTGGGATTGTTTTTTGTGTTGATTAGGGTGTTGTTTAGAATTTTTTGAGTTTTTGATATTGAATTTGATGGTACTTGAAGGGGCATAGCTGGGGAAAGAAGCCAAGCACTGCACAGGGCATCTAGACATTCAGATGTTTCGATGTGGTCATCGATCTTCCTAAAAGAGACTAGCCTCGGGTAGAAAATAAGTGTTACAGAGTTGAGCCCTACCCACAGAACTGGAGGATTGTGAAGCAGGGATAATAATGACAATCGATTGCCCTTTAGGGCTGCTCTACCGCAAGCGGCATTTGGACATTAGACCTTGGAGTAAGCTTTTTCTGTAGTTTTGTGGGGAAAGGAAACAAGCAGTGTTGACCTGCCATCCCTGCACACTTAATGCCTGAAAGCAATGGCAGCATGCCTGACCCATCTCGTGCAAGTCATCTGTCCTGCTGCTAGCCTGGTGTGCGCTAATAGCTTGCAAGTGAATGCCAAGAAACTGAGCTCTTGGATGTGTCCTAGGTCCAAGTGGAGAAAGAGCCTAGAATCAGAAGACCAGGTTTAAGCCCCAACCTCTATAGCTGCTAGCCATATGACTCTAGGAAAGTCATTTAGTATCTATGAACTTGTTTCCTTATCAGTAAGATGGGAATAATAAGGCTTCTACTATGTACCTCAAAAGGTTGCAATAAAAGTACTTTGTAGGGGCAGCTAGGTGACTCAGTGAAAAGAGCTCCAGCCTTGGAGTTAGGAGGACCTGAGTTCAAATCTAGCCTCAGGTACTTGACACTTACTAGCTGTATGACCCTGGGCAAGTCACTTAACCCCGATTGCCTCACCAAAAAAAAAGAAAAAAGAAAAATGCTTTGTAAGCTATAAGAAATTGAACCTGTAATTTCACTGGCATAAGGAACTCCCCCTTCTAATACAGGTTAGCACTTTATCTATAACTAGAATTTTGAAGGGTTGCTTAGCAGACTGAGGGATTGGGTAACTTGCCCAGAATCACACAGCCGGGATGTATCAAACCGGGACTTGAACCCTGGTCTTTTAGTCTTCAAGGCTAGCACTGTATCCCCCACGCTATGTTGCATCTGAAAAGTGCTCTGAAATGTGAGCTGTTATTCAAGAGGGGCAGCATGATATAAAGGAAAGAGCCTAGACTTAGAGATCTGAGTTCAAATCCTAGGGTAAACCCTTTTCTAGTTGTATGACATTGGGCCGGTCACTTTGGAGGCTCAGCCTTCTCATCTATAAAATACTTGCCTTGGGGCAGCTAGGTGGGGAAGTGGATAGAGCACCGGCCCTGAAGTCAGGAGGACCTGAGTTCAAATCTGGCCTCAGACACCAACACTTACTAGCTGTGTGACTCTGGGCAAGTCACTTAACCCCAATTGCCTCACCAAAAAAAAATTAAGTAAAATACTTGCCTTATCTACCCCTTGGGGATATTGTGAGAGAAGTGCTCTGTGCACCTGCCAGTGCTATAGACATGTGAGTCATTATTATTATTTTCTTCATAGGATTGTTGTGAGGAAGGTTCCTTGTAAATTGTGAAGGCCTATAAACATGTGAGCTATTGAAACTATTTTTATGGTGACAGAGGTTTGTTTATTATTACATGTTCCAGGATATTTAGTAGCCATTTCATACCTTGCCATTTACCCAAACATTTCTTCCATCATCATTCTCCCATTCTTAAAAATCTTCCCTGGGTTCCTTGTCTGTTGGATAAAGTCAAGACTCCTTTACTCTGGGGTCCAAGGATCATCACCCATTGGACCTTTCCTGTCATTTCTATCTAATCTTATCTCCAACCATTCTCTAACATAAATCACTGACTCCAGGTAGGCTCCTCATCACCTGAAACCATTCCATGTTCAGTAAGCCTCTCTGTTTTTGCATGTTATGTTCCCCTTACCTGTAATGCCCTGTCCCTGCCTCTGTGACAATGGAAATATTCCTTCAAATCCAATCTCTTCTTGTTATATCTTCAAATACTTTAAGAGAGCCATGATTTCAATGGTATGGATAGTCCCTCCACCAATGCAGATAGCAACTCACATATAAGTTGAGTTGTGTGAGTTAGTTTGGTCAGAAAATTGCAGTTGTATTTTATTTTGTTGGCTCTAAATAGTTGTTCTTTACATATGTATATATATGTATATATGTATGTGTGTACATATTACTTATATACAGATACAAAAACACATACAGATATATGTACATGTTGTCTCCCCCTTTAGAATATAATCTGAGAATAGGGATTGTTTCATTTTCTGCCCCCAGTGCCTGGAACATAGTAGGTGCTTAATAAATGCTTATCTGTTAATTGATCACCTGGTTTCCAGCCTTCTGGTGATGAACTTCTCAAAACTTAGCTAGTTGTCAGACCCTCTCTGGGCCTGTACTTGGAACCTTTGACTTTCCATCTCCTCAATCAGCAAATCCTTGTTGAATGTGTGGCAGGTACAGAACACTGCCTTCCCTGAAAGTCCAGGCCCCAGAATAGGAGCTGCCTGTTGGTTTTCAGAATTTCTATAGCATTTATAATCTAAAACAAATAGTCTCATCTTGCCTTATTCTCTAATTGTTCCCTATGTCTATATTTTCTCCTTAGTAGATTATAAACTCCTCAATGGAAAGGTTGTCTTTGACTACTGAATTCCCTGCAACGCCTGTGGAGCCACTTAATATGCCTTGACTTGACTTGATTGGTTAAGATTTATTCAGCCAACAGTCAATCAACCAATTAGCATTTATTAAGAGCCTACTATGTACCAAGCCAGGCACTGTGCTAAGCACTAAGGACACAAATACAAAGAATGAAACAATCCTTACCCACAGGGAGTCTGTAATCTAACATGTAGGATGGCAATAGCATTCACTGGAGGGAAAGGTCTTCAAATCACAGTGGGCAAATAAAAACCTCCTCAAAAGCTTAGGTGCTAGATCTCTTAACCACTTAACTTTTTAATTGCCTCTGACTTTTCACAGCATAGTGGTCCTACACCGTGACCCTATAAGAGATGTGTTCTCTTGGGCCTATGACCCTCATCATCCTGGCCAACTGTGCTGCTCTACAACAAAGAACAAAATTTCGAAAGTCCTTGATCAGAGAGAAAAGCTTTAGATAGGGAAGATTGAAAACTGAATTGCAAAGACAATTTTTAATCACCTTAATAAAATGAAGCACGTGGTTTGCCTTCTAGGTCCTTCAGCTCTGCTATGGGAACCCGGGCATTTTCCCATGACAGTATTTTTATCCCTGATGGGGGAGCAGAAAGTGAGCAGACAGTTCAAGCAGTATCACAGGACAACATTCTGGGCAAAGTCAAAACTCATCAGGTAAGAAAGCTTGAGACGGGGAGTTAAGAGCTGCAAAGTTGGGGCCCAGCAGAAGAAGAAAACGGGGAGGTCTCTAGTCTGGTCATATACAAAGATCCGGATGGCAAAAAGGTGGCCGTGGTGAGGAGTTTCATTCAGTCCTGTAAGAACCCTTCATTCATCAGGAGGATATCCACAATTTATTGCTTCTCACCTGCCTGACAGTATCTACTTCTTTCCCCAAAATTTCAGCCTCATTTTTAGCTGAGTGTCCACATTGAAGGTGATAGGAAAAAGACGAACGTTTAGGATGAGAGAGGGAAAACCCCAGTATGGTACTCCTCAGTCAACTCTGACTGCTGAAAGGAGTGCTTAGCAAATGCTCCATTCTTTTTTATCTGTTGTGGCATCACCCAAAGGCCACTTCAGAGTTTAGGGCTTGAAATCTGTGATGTTTTCATTCTTCTCATGATTCTTCCAAGAAACTCACTTCCCGCCCTCAGTGTTGTATCTCCTTGGTAATTTTCCACAGTTGGCCAATGTTTCTTCATAAAACTGAATCAAATGGAGTCCCCTCACCCACTTGATGATGGAAGAGAATAAGTCACTATGATATAATGTAATATAATATAAGATAATGTCCAAGGGAAGGGAGAGGAGTAAAGAGGCTTCAGGTTGGACTACCTTGAGAAGCGTTAGGAATTCATCCAGATTCCTTTGTGGAGGACACACAACCCTCTAGCAGCACACCAAGGAGTCTGCTTTGTGAATAAGGCTGGTTGCCTAATTACTACCTGTCTATAAATCCAAGCTAATGAACAGTTGAAAGCATTGCTATTTACCTACTATTTAGCTCAGAATGGTGTGACCTCAAACATATAGAAGGAAACTTGCTACCTTCTTTAAAATTCCTCATTGTTCTTACCCAAGATTGACTAAGCTCTGAACCTGAAGCATTGTTCAGTCAGTGCCTAGCAAGTTCTGCAGGCAGGTATTTGCGTCAGCTAAGTAGAGAGCATAACAAATAGTGTAAGAACAGCAAGCCAGGGGGGAAAAAACTAACTGCTGGAAGAGCCCCAGACATTTTTCTCTGGCCTCCTCTGCTCTTGGCCCCACTGTCCACCAATAACTCCATCAGAGAATCATGAGTTAGAAGGAACCTTCAAAGTACATGCACTATAACTCTTTCCCTACCTGATGCATGAATCCCCTTAATATTCTAGATGGCCTTGATTCCTCCCCTAAGGTGATTCTAGTTTTTCCTAGTGGTATCCTATTTGTGGCTTCCGTCATTTGGGCTTTTACATTTGTAGCACCCAGAAGGAGCAGTGGGTTAGAAGGAGTAACAGAGAGGCAACTAGGTGGCGAAGTGGATAGAGTACCAGCCCTGAAGTCAGGAGGACCTGATTCAAATCTGGCCTCAGACCAAACACTTGACACTTACTAGCTGTGTGACCTTGGGCTAGTCACTTAACCCTGATTGCCTAAAAACAAAACAAAATAATAAGAATAATCATAACAGGAAGGGGAGGAGACACTGAAAGAGAAGGCTGACAGCAAGCTTTTACCCCTCTCCCTCTTAAAAACTCAATTATCTAATATAATTATCTGGTAAACATTACTTCCATTTCTAAGAAGTCCTGAATTAAGCAGTAGTTGGTTTTTTTTAAATCGATAGTTTTCTAGCTTTGTCCTATCAGAAAACAGGATTGCACAGGAAATCTCTAGACCACAGGTTCTTAACCCAGAGTCCATAGACCCTGTGGGGTAGATTTGACAAGACAAGCCATGAACTTGAGTGAAAAAATTCCATCCCTATTTTCACTAGCTTCTAAACCTCCTTGGTAATTTCTTATGTGGTGTATTACTTGCATTTGAAAACACTGTTTTGAGAAGGGGTCTTTAAGCTTTGCCAGGCTGCCATGACACAAAAAAAGTGAAGAACTCCTGGTCAGTGCAGATTGATAAATATAGATAGAGCCATAGATAGATGTGCATTTTGGAACATGGTCGATGTGAGAATTTGTTTTACTTGACTATACGTATTTGCAGTGGATTTTGTTTCTTCATGCTTTCTCAGTGGGTGGAAGAGAATTTGGAGCGGATAATAAAATAAAATTCAATAAAAAAAGAAAAGAACCTCTGTGCTAGAGGTGCTTTAAAAACAGTTACATAATTATGGGTAGTTTTAAATGGTTTCTGCTGTGTCATTCAAAGTCCCCACTTCAGCACTAAGTTGACCATAGGCTCCCACTTTTCCCAGTATAGCATATCTCCTACCTTTAATTTTGGCTGCAGGTGATCGCCCGTGCCTCATAGTTCATGTCCCTCTGTGGGTGATGGGGTAGTGGTGCCATAGAAAGGCACTTTTTACCTGTGGTGGCTCTGAATGTTTTTGCAAACTTTGAGGTTTGTCCCTTTTGGACAGAGCACCCTTAACATTAGTTAAGTTCAAAAGACTGAAAAATATAGTTGTGTAATAATGAAAAATTAAAATCAATCACCAGATTGTCAAATGCCTACTTATATTCAAGGTGCTGTGCAAATAACATTTAGGGTGTCCCAAAAGGCTTAGTGTCATTTTAAGTTATTAATACCTCCCTTCTCTGTCATTTACTCTTTTCCCTCCCAATTTAAGTCCATTGACATAGGGAAGAAATATATAAGAAAATCAGAAACAACTTCCAGTTTGGCTTTTGCTTTGATAACATCTGTTAACGTGTAATTTGCCTGTCCTTGAATTTTAAGAACAAATTCAGCCACATGGACCTAGTTGTGGGACTTCCAGTTTGGGGATGCAGTTTTAAAATGCAAAATTTAATTTTGCATTTAAAATGCAAAAACAAAAACTGGAGACCCACTTGTCCAAGGAACAAAGTGGTTGCCATCATCATAGAGAATGTGATTATTGGTGTGTTGTAATCAATAACTGAGTCATCCCCAAAGATTGTGCTTTATTTTGCAGTCGACTAAGCAGTATGTTCCTGGTAAGTCTTAGAAACACTGGTAACTCCAAGTGGACTTGCATGAGTGCTTTGCCTTACCCATGAAAACATGACACTGGTCTTGGTGAGCTGCACAAAAGGATTGCCCACCCACATGCATCAGCATGGGGTGCGTGTTCATTGGTGTGAGCATGACCATTTGTACGTCTGGGCGTGTGTATGTCTGCAAGGAGAAACGGGGTCATGAAGAACACCTACTTGGCAGAAAATTAACTCTCGAAATGACTAGCTGATTTTTTTTTTAGAAATTTGTTTTAAACAAGATTCTGTTGAAATGCCCCAGGAAAAGAGTAACATTGGCAGGTTTCCTTTAAAGCTTAAGAAAACTTTCAGCGGCTCCAGAGCCAAACCTCTTGTGGAGCTGTTTGGAGAGGTGGCCCTCTAGTGTTCATACAGGTATGCTGTATATAATCCATGCAGCCTACCCAATCTAATCACTAACCATAAGCCCACACTCCTACCCTTAATTTTGGGTGCAGGTGACCGCCCGTGCCTCTTCATTCATGTCCCTCTGTGGTTAACGGGGAAGTGGTTCTAGAGAAAGGCACTGTTCTGTGGCTCTGAATGGTTTTGCAAGCTTTGAGGTTTGCCTGCTTTGGACAGATCAGCCTTAATATTAGTTAAAACTACCTTGCAGTAGGGAAGTGAGTAGAGTGGTCTTTATCTTTGTGAGATCAGATCTGGAACATGAGGTGTATACCAAGAAAGACTTGAGTTAGATTTATCCTGACCGTGGTAATCAGGTAAGGAATTTAAAAATTATGAGTCAGGACGTGGTGACAGGGCTCTGTCAGATTGTGGCCCTATCAGGAGAGGAAACATCTGAGGTAGCTTGGGCTTGTCTGAAGCACACTTTAGGCAACATAATATGTTTGGGAATTTCATCGCTTAATGTTCCCCTGCAGCTGTCAAGGACAAAAGGGAAGATTGTAGACTGTTAAGAACTTCTAAATGGAGCTGATTACTTTAAATTGATGGGGGGATTTAAATAATTTTTTTTTTTTGGAATTGTAACTGCTGAGAGAAGGAAGCTGCAGTGTGCTCAGGGTGGTGGCGGCTTCATTTTTCTTTCACAGCAGAATCCATGTAGTGCTGAAGAAACACCTGGGAGAAGCTTATGTTGGCAGTGTGAGGATTGTAAAGCACAAAGTGGGGCCCTCTGGGGAATTTCCACAGGATTAAAAAAAAATCGTCATAAATATGTATGTGCATTCTCATAACATCATTCTGCAACATTCCATATTACAACAAAATGCCCCAGTCTGAGTGAATAAAATGTGGCTTCTTTGATTTGACATTCCATTCTGCACAGTAGCTCCATTCATAGTCACACTTCCTGCATTTTATCTATAGGGCACAAGTTTCCATACTTTCCTCTCCAGTGTATGAATTGCAGTTTGTATGAGAGGAAGAGATGTTAGGAGTACTTCCCCAAAAGAGGAGGATCATTCTTTTAAAAAATGTGAAGCTCAACCAAGAATTCCAAGGCAGTGTTAAAGAGTGGCCAAATCCAGTTCTGCAAGGCCCAGCCCTGATGCCAGACTGGCCCTGTGATCCTGGGCAAATCACTTCTTCTCTCATCCCCCAACCACCCACCCAGAGCAGCTTTTTTTATAAGACTATTAGATGCATGAAATTTGCCCATCTTCTTTTGGCAGAGGGCATTTCCTCAGCCATAGTTTCCTACCCCAAGGAAATCACAGAGTCCATGCAAAAAAAGAGGAAGTTCTCCTTACTACACTACTGTTTACCGTGATAGAGCATTTTAAACTTCCTGTAATGCCAGTGATCAAAGAGTACAGAGACCAAAGTAACCAACAGGCCATTTTAGGTGACATTCAGAGCTCTGTTTAATGAATTTATTTAGCCATTTCACAGTACTGGAAATGAGAAGGCAACTAGGAGCTTTGCTGCATTGCATTGAATTTAAAAGGCTCAGACAGCATTGGCAGCAGAGAAATAACAGATCTTAGCACCTGGTTAGCAAGAATGATGAAAGTAGAAATAGTTGATATTTTAATTGAACGCCAGATAATGGGTTTGGATGAACTCTCCTCCATCCTACTCTCCTTCCCACCACCGCCGTTTTCAGCAGTGGTTTAATGTAGATGTCCCAGGGTCTTTCCCTGTGGGGCCGATTCTCTGCCTTTTCCCACCCCTTCCTACCTCTGTATTGGGGCACTTGCCCCTGTTTTGGTCTATGATATTTGCCCTCTGAATAAAACTTCCTAGTAATGGTTGTGCCTGAGATCACTAAACGTGGGCAGCAAGAACCTTGAAACTAGATAGTGACTTACAGCCAGAGGTTGCCAGCCTGCTGAAAGATTGTGGCCACCAAAGGGAAAGTGTCCGAGTGAGCCAGGTTGTCACAAATTACCTCCCTAGTTCTGACCACCTTCTTTGTCATTGCACCATTATGGTCATGACTCTTGAGATGGACAATTGAAGGCTACCTGGACTTCACCGCTTTTTGTCCAGTGGTAGTTTGTGTGTTTGAAAACAGTCTTTTGTCTAGATGATAAAAAGTTTGCTCCATTTGTGAATTGTAGTTAGTCATCGTTAAAATTCAGTTCAACAGAGATGAATTAAGCACCTGTTGTGTGCAAAGCACTGCTTTAGGCACATAATAAATATTTGTAGAACTGGTTTATCTCAGTGCCACCCACCATTCTCCCCTCTCACACATGGACATATAACTCACTACCTCCAACCCCTCCCACCTCCACCACTCACACACAAATTCTCTCTGTATGAATTGTAAAGACAATAAAACTTGATGTAATGTAGGAACACCTGCTTCTAATCTGAATTTCTTTTCTCTGGGGGATTTTAAATCAGCCCCTTTTACTTAGGTGAATGTTTTCGCTTTGGAAAGCAATAGCGTGAGGTGTCTGCTGCCAGAATAAATACATCGATGAAACAAAACAGTCTATTTACATATAATTACTCGGGTGCCATGGACAAATTGTGCACCTCACAACAGGGTAGATTTACCACCAGATTTGCCATTCTTCTTCCCTTCCTGGTCTCTTTTCTCTTTCTTTTGCTTACTTTTTCTTTCCCAGCCTCTTTGAATTCACCTCTTTTTCTCCTCTTTTCTCCCTCACTCTTCCTTCCCTTACTTGTTTTTCTGGTCCTTTAACATTAGTTTTTCTTTTCTTCTCCTGTCCATTCTTCCTGAAGGTCCCCTCCCTTGGCCTGTAGGTTACCTGTTTGTCTTACTTCTTTTCTTCCTTTTCCCAGCTTGTGAGCTCAGTTCTAAGTTTTGCTACATTGTTGGCTTACTCCAAGCATCCGTGTAGGTCAATATTAATATTTCTGTTGAGCTAAAATAAGATAATGGAAAGTTTATCAATAGTGGTGGTGTTAGAAACATTTATTAAATAACGAAAGAATGTGGGATCAAAGTTAGACCCGGCTCTTTCCCTAAAGAGATCAGCTTTATTTTTCTAATTGTAAATAGAACAAATGACCTCTATCTCGGTCATTTTAGGGATTGGTTAGACTCCTTTAGAAAAGAATGTGAAGTCTAAAATGACTGAGAACAGTTATCTGTAACTTAGTCGGTGCTCCTAGGAAAGAGAATGCTCAAACTGCAGGCTGAGTTAGGCTTTGCTGGGGGTAGTCCTTCTGGTCCTTTTATCCCAAACAAAGGAACACCAACTTCTGTCCTGCTTTGGCCAGAATCTTTGGAGTTTCCCATTCCTACTCTCCCAAGGAGGTTGTCCAAAGGAATGAATGATGTAAGTCGTTTGTGTAGTTCCTGTTAATCCATGTCTTTTCTGATTCATTGGCTGTTTCTGCTGAGCTTGCTTGTTGACTGGCTTTCATTAGGCACTCACTGCCCCTTGCCTCTGGTCTTAGAATCATAGCTTTCCCCTCTTAGGCTGCTCCAGCTGTTCATCATCTCATAGGCTGACATCAAAAGTTCCTCAGTGTGTTCAGTGGGGGTGCCACCTGTGATATTGGAGCCAGGCTCAAATCCTAATACCAATGGGTCCATACTAAGGTCACCTAGTGAAGTTGGTAGCTTATGGAATAATACGATTATGAATCTCTAGACACATATCAGCCTCACAGTTCAATAAAGAGATCTTTCCTTGTAGGGCTTCCTTTGGGTAGAAGCAAAGAAGAGCACACTCCCTTTGGAAACCCTATTGTTAGAGACCCAGTAACACAAGAACAAATCTACCTCCTACCTTTATTAGTTCCTATTAGAAAGCACTAAGTTGCTGAATTTGTCTTTGGGATTAAAGATTATCCAGGGTAAAAAACTATTATTTAGAATATTGACTTATTTGACCTTGTTTACCCTCAAATCAGTATTCTTTCAAATCACCACATAGATCTTTTCCTCTCTACATGCCATTTATTTCTGCTAAATATTTGTGTTCAGCTTATCAATATTTTTCCAATGATGTTGAATGGCTGCAAGCCGTGTTATATATGCTATAGTGTCTGAAGAATTAAACTCGAGATCACCCAGAGCGTAGTGGGAAGGCATATGGTGGCCACAAGTAAGTAGAAACTTGTTACCAGACCAAGAAAGGTCTGCGGAAAGTGTTATAAATGATATCATCAGTGACACGTGTGATGGAAAAAGGAGACAGACTGCTCAGGTAGAGAGAAAAAGAGAGACAGCAAGGGATTACAGATGAATAGGAACCCCCATGCTTTACTAAAACAGTGACACCCAGGGTACCATCAGTTGTCCAGCCAGGAGTCATTGAAATAATAAGCAAGAGGTACAGAGGCTGACAAGATGTGAACAAGTTACTATCTTTACATCACTAGAGAGAGTACCCACATGCATAGGATCACAGATGCATCAAAGATGTGTGACATATTTTGCCCCATCTTCCTTAAGTGTTATTTTTTCAAGTTTTCTTTTTCTTCAATGAATATTTTATTTCTATTCCCTTGGCCTTTTAACTATATGCTTCCTTTAAATGTTCTCCCTATTCCCTTCTCATTTCTGTGCCTTGCCCTGCCTTCACCTCGTTCTTTATCTTCCTCCTCATCCCTTCCTCTTTTCTCCCTACCTTTTTCTCTGTCCTCCCCATTCACTACCTTTCTGTGCTCCTCTTTTTACATATTCCTGTCATCTATTGCTTTTCGCCATAGAATTACCAGGGGTATTTGCAAAAAGTAAAGCAGAGATGATGTCAGGGATGAAGTACATCATTAATGAAACTTCCCTGAAGGGTTTCATTTAAAAAAAAAAAAGCTTTGCTAATAAATGGCATTTTCTATATCTTATTTAGAACAGTATTCCAAGGGGTCAAGGTCCCTCTCCACCCACCTACCCCCACCGTGAAAAGCTAGGAAATTCCTTGGGGTGGAGCAGGAGCTTGGGTAGTGGTGTGAACACAAAGAATCTTGTTCATCCAGAGGGAAGTTCAGAGGGTGATTAGCTCCAAAAGAACTGGCAAGTACTTTTGAGGTTTATAAAGAGATCTAGGAAGATGCCAGTTGGATGAGAGTGTTCATGGCTCACCATTGGGAAGGAATGTGAATGGTTTGTGAGGAGGGGAAGGGAGAAAGGAAGCTCAAAAAACACATGCTACCAGTTACCATCATAACCCTTCATCATGGTCACTTGCCTCAATGTGCTTTAGTTTGCTTCGCTCATGAATCGAATCAGTTCCATCTAGAACATACTCTTACTTGTACCTAATACTCTGGGCAGCCCTTCGTTCTAGACTTTCTAATGGCTCTGTTGTTCCAGAATTGACTAGTTTTCTTTTTTTCTTCTTTCTTCAGCCACAGTTGGTCAAGAACATCAAGTGTGGGCAGTCCCCACCACCCACAGGCCTTCCTATGAAGAGGACAGACACTCCCAGTCCGGAGACTAGCTTAGAAGAGGATCTGTTCCTGAGTAGTCCCATGGAAATTGTGACCCACCAGGATTTAATGCTCTCCGATAGTGAGAATAAAGTGAGTTGTCACCAACAGGACCCAATTTCCAATAATCTGATGCATGACACATCCTCTCATGGTAGGGAGGTGAGTCAGGACCTTATGCCTGCTGTGGAGACTGATGGAACAGAAAGGATGAAGCAGTGATGGAAGGTCCCTAGAGTGGGGAAGGTATCCTCCTTTGAAGGAGGAAAAGTCTGTTTTGTCTACAGCCATTGTTTTCTACTGCAACACAGCCCTGTGCCATGAGAGTCTAAGAGGTTGCAGCTGTGTTTCAAAGAAACAAAATGTTAATGCTAATGCCGCAATTGGGGTCAAATCTACCAGAAATAATTTTATTTCATTTAGCCTTCATCTATTTCCAAGTCATTTTAGCTTAGAGATGTACAAGTTGATGTAGTCCCCCACCCCCTAAACATGGAGATCTGCCTCAAGAAGATTTCAGATATCATTTTAGGAATCTTGAACAAGGAAAAGATATCCTAAAATATAACCTGGGTTAACATTTCAGAAATGAGCCTTCCCTCCAGGACCACTTCCCTCACTCCAGGAGTTTTTTAAAAGGGATCTAATCTAGGCCCTTCCATCACTATGTTGATTCTTTGTCAATGGAGAAGGGCAGACGCTAGTGCCAATCTCTTCAGGTGGGTGGGGAGGCACCACTTGGCAATTAATCAATTAGTAAGCATTTATTAAGTACCTGCCAAGTGCCAGACACAAAAACAGGCAAAAGATAATCCCTGCCCTCGGGGAGCTTACTCTAATGGGGAAGACAACATGCAAACAAATACATACAAAGCAAGCTACTTACAGATAAATAGGAAATAATTAACAGAGGGAAAGCAATGGAATTAAGAGGGGAAAGCTTCTAATAAAAGAAGAGATTTTAGTTGAGATTTAAAGAAATCTAGGGAGGGCAGCAGGTGGACTAAAGAAGAGCATAGGGTGGTTGAGGAGGGAGGAAAGGAGAGAATTTGGAACCCAAAGTTTTAAAAACAAATGTTAAAAATTGTTTTCACATGCAACTGGGAAATAAGATACAGGTAATGGGGTATAGAAATCTGTCCTGCCCCACAGGAAAATAGAAGGGGAAGGGGATAAGAGAAGGGGGAGTTGACAGAAAAGAGGGCAGATTGGGGGAAGAAGTAATCAGACTACACAGTGTCTTGGGGTGGGAAGAGGGGAGAGATGGGGAGAAAATTTGGAACTCAAACTCTTCCGAAGTAGATGTTGAAAACTAAAAACTAAATAAAATAAATGTATAAATAAATAAATAAAAGATGTATAAAAACTAAAAATAAATAAATTTTTTTTTAAAAAAGTTAATTCAAAGAGAAAAAAGAGCATTTTGTGGAATAGCCCTAGAGACCATCGTCATTAGACTGAAGAGTACCTGTCAGGGAGTAAGATGTAAGACGACTGGGAAGCAAGGAAAAATGCCAAATGGAGAATTTTATATTTGATCCTGGAGGCAATAGGGAGCCACTGGACTTTATCGAATAGGGGTTGAGATGGCCACTTTAGTGGCCAGATGGAGGATGGATTGGAGGTGGAGAGAGGCTAGAGGCAGGCAGACCCACCCTCAGGCTATTACAATAGTCCGAAAGAGGTCATTAGGTAGAAAGTAGCTGAGACGGAATTTGAACCCAGATCCCTGGATCCAAATCCAATGTCCTTCCTGGCTCTAGGATGATACATTATCACTAGCCTCACCAATCAGTGCTGGGCTACAGCAGCAATAGCAACACTGCATCCTTTTTGAAGGAATGTCCTAGGAATTTTATCGTGGTTTTAAACACCTGTGCCAGAGACAGGTAGAACTTTTAAAAATTCTTCTTAAAAGTTCCTTTAGGAGGTGTAAAGGAATAGATGACCACTGTAGAATACTAAGGAGAAAAGATAGTATGCTTCACCCTTACCTTCCCCAATCCCTTTTTTTCTTTTTTTTAGTGAGGCAGTTGGGGTTAAGTGGCTTACCTAGAGTCACATAGCCAGTGAGTTTCATGTGTCTAAAGCCGGATGTAAACTCAGATCCTCCTGACTCCAGGGCTGGTGCTCTACCCACTGTGCTGCCTAGCTGCCCCCCAACCCTCCATTCTTGAAGGAAATAATTTTAAAGTAAAATAAGGAGGTACTTATCTATAAAGCAGGTACCTAAAATCTCAAGAATTACTCCAGGTTGAAATAGAAAAGAAAGACTTTAGATAAAGTTAGAGATTATATGGCAGGAAATTAAAGATAATTAAGAATACATCCTTTGGGGCAGCAAGGTGGTGCGGTGGATAGAGCACCGGCCCTGAAGTCAGGAGGACCTGAGTTCAAATCTGGCCTCAGACCAAACCCTTGTCATTTACTAGCTGTGTGACCCTGGGCAAGTCACTTAACCCCAATTGCCTAAAAAAAAAATACATCATTTAACAAGGGCTAGATTTCCCAAAGGAACCCCAACTCTACCCAAAAAAATTTCCTTCCCAAATGCTTAAAATCCACTCAATTGGAAAAGCCAATTCATTCTACAATTAGAATAGGGCTAAATTGAAATATTCCCTTGGATAATAAATTACTAAATTCAACTAAATTGTAAATAACTGATACCAAGTACTCTCTAACAACAGATTTTGAAGGAAAAAAGACACTGGGCATTTTAAAAGGGAAGTCGGAGGAGGAAAAGCTACAGGAAAGGGAAAACTTGACAAAAATCAATTTTACCTGTTTTACCAAGAGACAGCCCTGGCTCTTTCTCCTTGCATTTACAGTTCCTTCTATGCCCATCTACTTTCTTCACCTCCATTTGGTAAAGAGAGAGTTAAGCTTTTTTTACTTTATTCTTGCTTATTGTTTGAAAGTGATAGAACTGGGCAAAGAGGGTGAAAGGGAGCCTGAGATGGAAAAAAAGGCAATGAGGTGGTGGGGGCTTATTTAACTACCTGACATCATCAGCCCGCAGTAGGTGAACTGGGGTCAAAGGCCACAGGCATGAGTGGACTGTATACTAAGTCAAGGAACTGAAATAGGAAACCACCATGATGTGAAATGTGTTAACGCCAGCTCAAAGGCCAGCTGCACCTCCGTGCTCTACTACTGAGTACGTTATTTTTGTTTCTAGAGGTGTTTTTTTTTTCAAACAAAAGAAGGGCTTTAATCTTTAGCCACATACTTTGGTAATAATGCCTGTTCTTATAAATAGTTAAAAGGAGCTGATTTTGACTCAATTAAAACTTCACAAAAATTAGAGTTGTTAATGAGTCGGAGCACCTCAGAAAGTAGCAAATTCCTCATTATTGTGCACTGGATTTGTTAGACATGTTAGAACCCCCTACTAGACTATAAGCTCCTGGAGGCCAAGAATTTTGTTTTGTTTAAATAGGCTTTGTATTTCCGAGAGCCTAGGACAGTGCTTTACATACAGTAGGCACTTAATATTAACATTTGTTGTACTGTGTCTAGAAATTTCCTGCTCGGATTTGGTTGGGCTACTTTAACCCTCTGTTTTCATATGCAGCCCTTCCTGAGCTCCTCTGATACATTGAGAACAAAAATAGAAAAATAAATAGGAAAAAAAACCAACAATAACAGAATACAGAGCCAGATGTGGGCCTACCAAGAGACAGAATAAATGTCATCTTTTGTTAATTTTTGGCCAAGATCTTTATGTCCCAATATCTAACTTCTGTAATCTTATTGTTTTCCTAGTCCAGTGATACTCCAACTTCCTTAAGCCCTTTGAATTTACCTGGAACAGGGAGTGAAATGGAGGAGAAGGTAAGAAGATATGCATCTGTCCGTTTAATTTCTCTGCTTTTTTTCCTCTGTAATCATTTGCTATTTATTTTCCTCACTTTTCTATTTGCAAATTTTACATTCACTTATGGCTTTAAGTCCCTTCAAAGTGCAGCCACATGGCCCTTAAAAATGCACTGATAAGTCAGCAGTAACAGATATTGGGGAAATCTGTTTCCATGACAATGCCTGATGAAACTGGACCCTACTCTGGAAAACCGAGACTCCCAGCATGCCTGAATTCGGACGCTTAGACACAGATAATTTTCAAAAGAGGTTCACGTGCTTCATTAAGATAAAAAGCCATTTGACACAGCTGTGCAAGGGACATGAAGGTACTTGTAGCTCTAAAAAACTGTCTCTCTTCTTCAGTACCCAGATATTTGGCCTTTCCCTTCCCCCATGTGTCCTCTGGTTTTTCAGCTTTCATTTCACATCTGTGAATTTCACAGCAGGAGTCAAATGAAGCCTGTGAGGAAACTGTAGGTTATGCTCTCTTTAGAGTCTGGCCTGCTATGATGACCCTTCTCATCTTCCCAGGGCTCCAGGCTAGGGTTCTAGGCTTAAGAGATTGTACACAGTGGTTACTGTCTGACCCTTCTGCAAATGAGCCCTTGGAAGTTTCTTTTTGAAAATGATTTGTACTGCTCAGATAACTTAAAAAATGGCCAATGCAAGACAAGAGTCTCAGTCACGTTACTCATCTCAAGATCTACTCCAGGGGTAGGGAACTTGCCTCCTTGAGCCCACATGTGGCCCTCTAGGTCCTCAAGTGCAATCCTTTGACTGCACTTCACAGAATAAATGGATTCTGTCAAAGGGCCACACTTGAGGACCCAGAGGACCATAGGTGGCCTTGAAGCTGTAGGTTCCCCACCCCTGAATCATTTTTGCTTAGATACAAGCATTAATTTTTGTCTGTTTCACAAGTACATGCCTGTGTGTTCAGTTTTTTAGTGAACTTTTTGAGAGCTGATTTGTCCGTCCTTTTTTACCCACCTCTTAGGGAAAGAATGGGAATGATGGATTTATTTCATTTAAATTGAATCAAGAAATCGTTTTCCTATGTAGTAGAGTCACATAGACTTGGAAAGTTAGAAAATGAAAGACTATGTCTGGGTTGGTTTTTTTTTTTAATTGGCCATATTTACTGAATGCTAACATCTTATTGTTTTCCTAGTCCAGTGCTACTTCAGCTTCTTTAAGCACTTTGAATTTACCTGGAACAGATAAACCCCTTAGGACAAGTCTAAATCTTGCCTTCACCCATAAATGTGGAAAGTCATTGGAAAATAAGGAACTATCACAAAAACCCTGCTGATTGCACAGCTGCCACACCAGTGCACCCACATAAAGTTCCCCTCCCTTAATCTTATGTTGCTCTCTGTACCTAGTGACAGTTTTGTCACAGGCCCCATATCCTGCAGCTGGGAGACGTTGTGTGACCAGGACTTTTTGGTCCTCATTGTTTGAGTGGAAACCTTCCCTCTTTATGGGCTGCAGCTGCCTCTCTTTGTCATGTTCAGCAGATAGAGCCTTACCTTCTCTCACCTTCCTATTTTGCACTACATGATCCAGCTGTTCCATCATGTCCAATTCTTCATGACCCCATTTGGGCTTTCTTGGCAAAGATACTGGAGGGGTTTGCCATTTCCTTCCCCAGCTCGTTTTACAGATGAGGAAACTGAGGTAAACTGGGTTAAGTGATTTGCCCCAGGGTCACACAGCTAAGTGTCTGAAGTTGAATTTGAACTCAGGTCTTCCTGACTCCAGACCTGGCACTCTATACACTATGGCACCACCTAGCTACCCCTGGCCCACCTGTTATTCCGAGTACACAGCACTTCATTTCTTCTCTCCTTGACGTTGCACTGGTAATGTTCCCCATGCGTGGAACCTAACTAACCTCCTAACCTCCAGCTCTTAGAATCCCTGACTTCTGACTTCATTCATTTAAGGCTAAGCTCAAACTCCACCTCCTCCGGAAGCCTCTCAGGGTCTAATTAGGAATGCTCCCTTCCTCATCAGGAATTGATTATCTGTTCTCAACCAAGCTCCATCTTGAAGGCTGAAGACTTCCCTGCTCAGACCTCACTCTGATTGTGCATACCCACCAAGATCATTGCCACCATATCTCCCATGACTCTGGTTGTGCGTTCATGTAAGCGCACACTTTTTTGCCTGCTTGCTATGTCACACAGTAATAACGCTCTTGCTTGTGCTAAGTTCCTGAGTGCCAATTTCCTATAAATTCTGAAACCCGAGTCTTTGCTCTCACCTGAGCCATGAGGCCAAATAAAGCAGCAAAACAGAGGAAAAGAAAAGGAAACAACAATTAAGGCATAGTCAGGCAAAACAAATTTCCACATTGGCCACGTTCAAAAAATACGGCTTGTTCTGAACCCCAAGTCTATCACTTCTGTGAAGAGGTAAATAGTATGCTTTACTATCAGTTCCCTGGAATCATGGCTGGTCATTAGAGTTGATTAGAGTTCTTAAGTCTTTCAAAAATTATCTTTATTGACATTGATTGTAGTTGTGATCGTAGAACTTGTCCTCATTCAGCCCACTGCACTATGGATCAGTCCATATAGGTCTTCCCAAGTTTCTCAGAAATCTTCCCCTTCATTTTTCTCAGCGCAATAGTATGTCATAACATCCATACACCATAATTTGTTCAACCATTCTCCAATTAATGGGTGCTCCTGAGTTTCCAATTCTTTGCCATTACAGAAAGAGGAACTGTAACTATCTGGGAGCAGCTAGATGGCACAGTGAAGAGAGTGCCAAGTCTGAAGCTAGGAAGACTCATCTTCCTGAGTTAAAATCTGGCCAGAGACACATATTGACCCTGGGCAAGTCACTTAACCATGTTTGCCTCAGTTTCTTCATCTGTAAAATGAGGTAGAGAAGAAAATAGCAAACCACTCAAGTATCTTTGCCAAGAAAACCCAAAATGGGGTCACAAAGACATGACTGAAACAACTAAACAACAAATATTTTTGTATATGAGTCCTGGATCCTCTAAATTTTTTTTTTAAATTAATAAATTTCTAAACTTAAAAATTCTCAAATGGTCAGTCATATCACACAATTATTTCATGACATTAAATTTATTGTGTACATGTTCTTTGGAAGGTACCCGTAAATGATATCTAAATAAAGATTTCTTTTCTTCCTCCCCCTCCCCTCTCAATGTTTAGATTTTTTTATCCTCTGTCCAGAACAGAGAATCTTGCTAATTTATCAGGGGCTCCAGCCAAGGTCACCTCTGCTACCCTGACAAAGACATTGATTTTGGATACTTTTTAAAAATAAATCTTTTTTTGATAACTTTTTTCTATCACATATTCATCCCCCACTCAATACCTTATGAAGTAGTTGGCACCCTGGAAATCTCAGAATTGTTTGCTAATCCCAACTGTTGTTTTTAAATCACAACACAGGTTGCTCCAGTTAAATCATCTCGGCCAAAGCGACATTTCTCCTCTGCTGGCACCATCGAAAGCGTGAACCTCGATGCCATTCCTCGGGCCATTGCTCGCCTGGACAACAGCGCAGCCAAGCACAAGCTAGCTGTGAAGCCAAAGAACCAGAGGGTGTCCAGGAATCACAGGAGATTGTCCAAAGTAGGGGGCCATTCTTGCTGACTCACAGATGTACTTTCATCCTGGGCACAAATTCCATACCATAAGGCCGTATATTTTCAAGTTCCCGTAGGGTAGGGAGGTGGTAGGCTGTAGGGTAGGAGGACAAGAGGAGTTGTCCTAGTATAAGGGGGCCCTCTTTTAAGTTGAGTTGACCCAGAATTGACAGTGCCATCACCATTACCTATAATTTACCTATAAATTATCTTCAGCCTAGCTCCAAGTTTCATTTCTTCTTGCTGCTGCGTAGGCTTCACAGTTGTATTATTAAAGCCTTCTATGCAGGGGTGTTCTGGTAAATGTTTAACAACCAGCTCCCCAGAAAAAAAGAAATATGCACAGGACACACTTTTAGTTTAATTTGCATCATTCACATTTTCTCTGTCACTTTCTTAAATCCTGACAAGGGCTGGCAAACCAAGGGAATGGGCCAAATCTACCCATTTTCCTATGGTCCTTGGCTTAAAAAGGAATTTTACATTTTTAAATAAAGTTTTAAATAAACAAAATACCATTAAAAATAAAACCATCAAATAAAAACCATTCTTAGGAGGAGACGTAGACTCCTGGTCTAGGCTCTAGTCTAGGAGTGGGGAACCTGTGGCCTTGAGGTCACATATGACCCTCTGGGTCCTTGGGGGATTTGTTCTGTGAAGTTTGGATTAAGTCAAAGGGCTGCACGTGAGGACCTAGAAGGTCACATGTAGCCTTGAGGCTGAAGGTTCCCCACCCCTGCTCTAGACAATTAAGACAATATATGAGGGGCAGCTAGGTGGTGCAGTGGATAGAGCACCGGCCCTGAAGTCAGGAGGACCTGAGTTCAAAGCTGGCCTCAGACCAAACACTTGACACTTCCTAGCTGTGTGACCCTGGGCAAGTCACTTAACCCCAATTGCCTAAAAAAAAATAAAAGGTAAAAAAAATAGACAATATATGAAGCCCTGGTTTATGGCTAAAGTGAAAAATTTGTCTTCCAGGAGTAAATGCTCACAGTGAAAATTAAATAGTTTGCTTGCAGAACCTGTCTGAGCTGGCCTCAGTACACCCCTGCTTCCAAGCCAACCATTTTAAATAATTTCATTAAGTACAGATCTGTTATCTTCTTCCAGATCTTTCCTCCATAAAGGCCTGATTTGCTGCTACTGTATTCCAGTGATAAGAAAAAGTAATTTGGGGGGGAGTGGGGTGAGATATACGTGTAGTAAAGGATTTTGCTCTCTTACCACTTCCTTTCCTATGGCCTGCGTTTAAACGCTGAACTTTCCTTGGAAGGAGGCAAAAGGATTCGTTTGGTTGGTTTTGATCTGTGTCTGTGATTTCCTCTTCTATTATGGAAACTCCCTCTAGTGATGCTGATTGGCAACAGTCTACGTGTGTTGCCAGCACCAAAAGGGTCTTGCAAAAAAAAAAAATCAGATGACCAGTCCACGGTGAAAGCAATCGACCTATTTATCTGGTGTGTTTAAGGAAAGACCACCGGGTTTTCCTGGAGACACCATAGGTTTTTCTAGACTTCAACCACAACTTATCCTAGGGAGTTTCTTGGAGTTTGGAGCTTAATCAATGTAGCCTTGGTCATCCAGCTAATCTGTGTCTGAGGCAAGACTTGTTGTCCTAACACGAAAGCCTGCCCTCTACAACTACACCATGCTGCCTCTCATGACTCATTTATCCAACTGTCTACTAATCGACCCTTGTCCCTTATTTTGAGTTAAAACATACATTATAAATACTTATTACCTATTTTAAAAAATCAAAAAAATCGTTTTAAAAGAACAAATTCTGTTTTCCTCTTCAATGTTAGGGCCGGCAAAATGATCAAGAAAGCTTTGAGAGTCAGCTGTCCCTAGATCAGAATGGACACTCTGGAGAAGAAAAACGAACTTGGCATGAAGAAGAACTCAAACCCCTTGATTCAGAAGAAGAGAAAAGACAGCAAGAGGAATACTGGAGACACCTTGAGGCTGAATATAGAAGACAAAAGGCAGAAAAGAAGCGACTAGAAGAGCAAAGGCTTCAGGAAGTAGAGAGGAGGCTTTGGGAAGAGAATGCAAAACCTCTTCTGGAGGAGGAAGAAGAGGAAAAACATCCAGAAGGTCAGAGTCCCCAGGGAGAGGAAGGGCAAAGGTCGGAAGAACAGAATTGGCAACAGCTGCAGGAAAACAGACTAAAAGAAGCAAAACAGGAGCTAGAGGAGAAAAAAAGCCTGGAAGCAGAGGAACAGCCGTGTTGGCAGCTGGAGGCAGAGAAGCCTCTGGAGGAGCTCGAGAGACAGGAGGGACTACAAGAGCGGAGGAAGCAAGAGATCGAGAAACAGCATCTGGAGGAAGAAGCCAAGCTCCTGCAGGAGCGCCAGAGACGAGAGGAGACAGAAGAGCAGAAAAGGCGAGAGGCGGAAAAGCAGCTTCAGGAAGAGGAAGAAGCCACGGCACTGCAGGAGCTCCGGAGTCGAGAGGAGACAGAAGAGTGGAGGAAGCAAGAGACAGAAAGGCAAAGGCAGGCAGAGGAAGGGAAGGTCCTGGAGGAGACCGAAGAGCAGGGTGGAAAACAAAGACAGAACGATGAACTGAAGTCACTAGCAGAGCTCGAAGGACAAGACGTGGGGACAGCGGAACACAGCAAGCAAGAGGTAGAAAAGCAGCTTCAGACAGAAGAAAGGGAAGACGAGTGGCAGCAGTGGGAGAAGGAGGCAGTCCAGGAGCAGAGCAGCCAGGAGGCCCAGAGGCAGCCTGAGTCAGTAGAGGAAAGGCACCTGGAGAGCCCAGCTCAGGGCCACTCCAAAAAGAGCCTGGAGGAACAAAAATGCCCCAAGCATGAAGGCCGCGAAAGAAACGAAAGAAACGTAAGGGGACTGCAGTTTGGAGAGAAGCGGAGCCCCCAGGGAGAGGAAACAGGGGAGGATGGTCACAGAGGTGCTCCTCTGCTTCAGGAAGAAAGAGGAGGAACTCAACAGGGCCGTCCCCAGAAAGAAAAGAGGCAGCCAGAAGATGAGCCAGCTCAGGGGGAGAAGAAAGAAACTGTTACCCTGAAGAAGGATCAGATCGGGGAGGAGCTGAGATGGCAAGAGGTTGAGGAAAGGCAATCCATGCCCAGACCATATACATTCCAAGTGTCATCAGGAGGAAAACAAATCCTATTTCCCAAAGTCAATCTGAGTCCAGTGACGCTTGGGAAGGAGTCAGGGCTTCCGTCCATCTCACAAGAGCCCAAGGCCAGTAAGTCCAGTAAGGCCTCCCACCCTCTCCCTTCTTCGCTAAGCATTCCACACACGGCAATCCTGGTTACTGGAGCACAGTTGTGTGGCCCGGCCGTCAACCTAAACCAGATCAAGGACACAGCTTGCAAGACTTTACTGGGCTTGTCAGAAGAAAAAAAGCACATGGATATTCCTGCTTTAGAAAACACGCCACGAAGCACTCACGATGCATGGGCAGCCAGTGGAAAGGCCAAGTTTCCTCAGGAGTCTCCAAGCAGTAAGGCTGCCTTAGCTGAGTGGGAATCTATTCGTTCGAGAATCCTGAAGAATACCGATAATGGCCAAGTTGGTGAGAGGGACCTGTTAAGGCACAGTGGGGACAGTGCTTCCAAAGGCAGGTCTGATTCCCGGGGAAACCTCAGGAAAACCTTATCAGCAAATGCAAAATTCTCCATCATGCCTGCCTGGCAGAAATTCTCTGATGGTGGCATTGAAGGCCAAAAGCAGAATGCTGAAAACCTTAGGAATAAGCCTGGGCTGGGACCCAGCGAAAGAGTAGAGGTCCAGCCTCCTGCTGGTGGACACCAAAAAATTCCCGAGAGAACCGGGATGCAGCAGGAGCCGACTGACACTGCAGAGGGATGTAAATTTGCCAAAGATCTTCCATCTTTCCTTGTCCCAAGTTCACCTCTTGCTCTACAGAAAGCCCTGGTCCAGCCAGACTCAGCAGCTTCCTCTGAAAGCGAGACAAGCTGTGTGGGGAAAGCGGAGGATGTCATGCCACGTGGGGAGGAGAGCACATCGCCTTTTGGGATAAAGCTGAGAAGGACCAATTATTCCTTGCGTTTTCACTATGACCAGCAAGTGGAACAGTCAAAGAAAAAAAAGAGGCATAGTACCGGTGACAATCCTGAGGGGGCAGCATCTGTACTGAAGGATAACGCTGGGGAAAAAGAAATTATCATTGTCAAAGGCAGCACATCACCTACCCAGGAGAAAAAGAACAACCCCCTGCGTTTGAAAGACTCCCTAGACAGCCTTGGGCGACACCCAGCCCAGCCAGCACCCCAGCTCCCCAGCAGCCACATTCCTCCTCTGGATCATGACAAGCCAGGGGCTAAATCACCACTGCCGCAGAAGCCAGCCCTCGCCCCCAAACCCACCAGTCAGACCCCACCATCCTCTCCCCTTTCCAAAATGGGAAGGCCATTCTTGGCCGAGCTAATCTCCAGGCGGACAGTGAAACCAGACCAGGATGCCAGCGAGAAGCTACATGGGGGCAAGGACAGCGGTGATCTTCAGCTACCACCTGTCCCCCTCACTGAGAAGAGAAAGGAAGAGGAGGAAACAGCAGAGAAAAAATCCCCCTCTCCATTGGTCTCTATCTCCCAGCAAGAGAAACCTGAGAAAACCCTCGAGCCTGGGAAAAAAGGTGGGTAAGTTTGGAAACTCTTTAGGTAGCACAGTGGATAGAGTGTCAAGCCTGGAGCAAGGAAGACCTTGAATCTGGCCACAGACACATTAGCGGTGTGACCCTGGGCAAGTCACTTAGCATCTGCTTGCCTCAGTTTCTTCATGTGTAAAATGGGGATAATAATAGCACGCTGTGTTATTTACAAACAAGGTAGTGTTTGTAAAGCGCTTAGCACGGTGACTGGCACACAGTAGGCACCATACAAACGTTAGCCATTATTATGATTCAGGGTAAGCCGCAGGGTTCGAGTCAGAACTAACTAAGGAATTGGGCTAAGGTCTGCCAAGGAGCAACTGCTATTAGTACATTCATTTATCAGGGGCCTGTTGATGGTTCTACGGTAATGGATAACTTTCTTAAGTGAGACCTCTCTTGTGCTGTCTAGTCATTCTTAGATAAATAGACCCCATACGAATGGGCAATATGCTTCTGAAACTCAGGTAAATAAGTCATTGCTGAAATGATGATGATGGTGATGATTCCCCACCTGGAGTCCTGTTGGATGCCTCATCTTGCAAATACCCTGACTTCTCAAAGGCTGAACTAGAAAAGCACAGAGCTGACAGGACAGGGTCTGTTCTGCAAGGCTTCTGGTGATGGAATTGTCAGAGGAGGAGCCAAGCTAAGTTTGGAGTTAGCCATGTGGCAACAGAATTTTTTGGCCAAGACAACTGAAAAAGCAGAGTCATAGAGGGGCCTCTGTCTGCATTAGTAGTGGGAGTACCCACCCCAATGAAGTTATAGATCCTTGAAGTACTGAAGACTTTTTTATATAGCATTGTAAGCTTTGCAAAGTGCTTTTCCTACATTACCTCATTTGATCCTTACAACCAGCCAATGAAATAGGTGCTGTTATCATCTCCCCCCAAGTACACAGGACAAAACTGAGACTCAGAGGAGAAGCTTCATGCCTAGGGTCATTCTGCTAGTTAGTGTCTAGGGCAGGATGAACCTAGATCTTACCGATTCCAAGACCAGTGTTGAATTTACCACACCTCTGCTGCCTCTTACTACTTACTGAAATAATAACAACAATAATAGTAACGATGACTCACATTTAATGTTTAAACTCTGCCAAATTGGACCAAAATGAACTAAGAAAACTTCCACTATAAAATTGTAAATATGACCCTGTCACACTTGTGAACAGCACACTGAGGGGAAATATAGGTAGAAGGAAGCCAGAGGTCACTGACTTTGCCCTTTTGCCTCAGGCTGGCCCTGCTATCCATGACTTTGGGTCTTATTTCATTAGGCTGAGATGAGCACCCAACCTCTCTAGTGAGTGGGATATCTTCCAAAACCTTTTCCTAGACCAGATATGAGGTTTTACAGTTCACTGGAAATAGGAGCTGCAGCGATAAAGCAGGACAAAGAAGACAATGGCTAGGTTTTCGTTTTTGTTTTTTCAGAAAATTATTAATCACTAGTTTGTTTGTGTCCCCCCAACTCTAGTTCAGGACCTTATCACCACTTTGTTCAGACCATTATAATAGCCTGATAGTTGGGTGTCTTCTTGTGGCTAGCTTGTAGGGTGAGACTATGACATTTTTAAGTGTCAAGAATGCTAAAGCTCAGGACAAGCTGAGGAAGCTAAAGGCAACAAAAACGGGATTTTTGGGTTATATTGGAAAAAAGATCAAAGAAGGAATAGGACCATTGCTTGAGGTTAATGGAGCAAGACGAAGTTGCTTATTTTATTTCTATTTTCTCTGCAAAGGAGAATGACTTCTAGACAGAACAAAAATACCAACAAGGAATTGATACCCAAGATAAGTTCAAGATATAATAAAAGGGCAATTAGCTGCCTTTGATGAATTAAAGGCATTTGGCCCAAATGAATAATATTCTAGCAGATGTGATTGCAGAACCACCACCAATGGTATTTCAAAGATCAAGGAAAATTTTGTGGTACAGGGGTCACAAAATTAGAAAACAGTAAATGTTGGCCAAATTTTCAAAAACAGCAGAAAACTTGAAGTCAGTGAGCTTGACTTCGATTCCTGGGACAGTTTTTGGAAAGATCATTAAAGAGATGGATGGTGATTACAGGGATTACAAAGAGACAGCATGGCTTCATCAAACATCATTCCCAACTTAACCTGATTTCTTTTTTTGATAGATAATATATAGACTATAACAGATGAAATATACATAATAGATAATATGTATTATTAGATAATAGAATGATATGGATATATTTCACTTAGATTTTAGCAGAGTTTCTGATAAAGAATTTTCTACTATTCATTTGGAGAAGATGGAAAGAGATGGATTAGACAATAATACAATTAGGTCAATTCGGAGCTGGTTGAATGGCTGGACTCAAATAATAGATGTTAATGTTTCAGTATCAGAGTAGCAGGAGGTCTCCAGAGGAATGTGTTAGGGATCTGTACTTGGCCCTTAGCTGTTTGACATTTTTATCAGTGACTTGGATAAAGGTGTAGATGGTATGTTCATCAGTTTTTCAGATTACACAAAGAAGGAAGGAATAAATAGCTAACACACTGGAGGACAGGCAGCATTCAAAATGATCTTGACAGAGTAAATATTATGCTGATTCTCATAAGATGAGACTCAGTAGGGATAAATGTACTTGGGTTCAAAAAATCAACCACTAATCTGAAGATGAGGGAGATGTGGCTAGACAGCAGTTGTTCTGGAAGGGATCCAGAGGGTTTAGTAGAGTGTGAGATCAATAGGAGTCATTAGTTTGATATGGCAGACCAAAAGCTACTCTAGTCTTGGGTTGCATTAGGAAGCTTATAGCTTCCAGGAATAGGGAAGTAGTAATCCCACAGTCCTCTGCCTTTGTCAGGCCTCATCTGGAGTGTTGTCTTCAATTCTGGGAACCACAGGTTAAGTAGAATATTGATAAGCTTCAGAGGGTCCAGGAGGGCAACCAGCAAGCCCTGGTATGCTGGTAAATGTTTAACAAGTAGCTCTCCCCTCCCTCCCAGAAAATATATGTGTGTATGTGTAAATATATATGTGTGTGTGTGTGTATATACACATATCATATATGTAAGACATACTTTTTAATCTGCATTAACATTGTCTCCATCTAGACAACCAACAAAATAATGACTCAATCCCTGATGTTTGCTGACTTCTGGGGTGCAGATGCTCACACTGAAAACTGAACAGTTAGCTCCCACAAGCCCGTATGAGCCGGCTTCAGCGCCTCCCTAGAAAGGATTCTGAGTGCATGACATGAGCATCAGTTAAAGGAACTGAGCTTTTTTAACTGAGGAAAATGAAGTCTCTGGGAGGAAGGGAAGGCAGGGCAGGAGAGACACGATAACTGTCTTTAAGTATTTGGGTTGTCGTGTTGAGGAGACAGAACCAGGGGGAATGGGTAGAAGTCACAAAGTGGCTGCTTTAGGCTTGATGTCAGATATAACTCCCTAACAGAACTGTCCAAAGGTGAAATGGCTTGCCTGAGGATTTTTTTAATTCACCTTCCTTGGAGTGAGACTGAATGACCATTTGTTCAGTATGTTATAATAGAGGTTCTTCTGCATTTGTGTTTGGATTGGATGGCTGCTGAGGTCCTTATTAACTCTCAAATTGTGATTCTGTGAAAGATAGCTGGTTTTGGAGTCTGAAGACTTGAGTTTAAATTCCAGCTGTTTCTTCCTAGCTGTGTGACCATAGGCAGACTACTTAATCTCTCTGGTCTCAGCTCCTTATCCATAAAATGAAGGAGTTGGATCAAATGACTAAGGTTTTTTCTAGCTCTAAATCTGTGATACTATTATCCTAGTTTTCGTCATCTGTAAAATGAGGTAGTTGGAAAATTCTATAATCCCACAGTCTGACAAAGTGAAGTGGGAGTTGAATTCAGAAATCAGGCACAGGTCAGAATGGGAGTCAGTATAGAACCAGGTAGAAAAAGCTCTGGGCTTAGAATCAAAAGACCTGTCTTTGAGTTCAAAATCATTTCCTCTCTCTGGGTTTCTATTTCTTCATATTAATAATGGAGGATGAAGATGGTAAAGATAGCTAGCATATGTATTGTGCTTTAAATCTGTTTAATTCAACAAGTTGTTGTTAAGTGCCTACTGTGTGTAAAGCAGCATGCTAGATGCTAAGGTTACAAATACAAAAACACACAGGAGAATTGAAAAGAGATCAGTGTTGGGAAAACCCACGGAGGAGAGGTCAGGAAAACTGACACCTAGCCACAAAAAGAGAACTAGAAATTGTACTGAACCTGCCACCGGTAGAAATCATCCATCTCAAGCAAGGGAACCCAACAAGATTGATTCTGGCTTAAGCTCTTTCTTTGTCACTTGGCTCTTGGCTCTTCTGAGCTTGGCCATATGCAATTCAACATTTTAATTAAAGACTTGGAAGAAAGGATAGATTATTCGAAGATGACGTGGAACTTGGACAGGGAGTAGAAATGTTGGATGACAAGGTCAGAAACTAAAAAAAAATCTCGACAGGTTAGAATATTGAGCCAAACAGCTTTATAAATACTGGGTGGGGGCATCATGGCCGGACAATAGTTCCTATGAGAAAAGAACCTGGGAGTTTTAGTGGGCCACAAGTTTAATATGGCTCACCAATGTGACGTGGCAATCAAAAAAGCTGATGTTGGGCAACTGGAGCTTTGTCCTCTGTTGTGATCTCTGAGGGCAAGGATTCAGGGAACATCCTTCCTGTTTTGGTCTGGAGATATCTGTGCCTGTGCTGGTGCCTTGTGTTTTGTGGTTTCCTGCTTATCTATGCCCCTATACGAATGAATTGGTCTCTAACCCCTTACCTTCTGCCATCTCTGTGGATCACTGAAGTGTTGCCATTATTGCTTGCCATTTGCATAACACTTTAAATTATAACATTAGCTGGTGGCAAGGGAATGGACTAGGGGTGTTCTTGCAAAGTCTCCTCCATAAATAGTTTTTTTAAAACATAGTCTCAGGTTCTTTCCTCTGAATTTTTTAAGTCAG